TTTAATCTTTCAAAGATGAGAAAACTAGTTACCAGAGAGATTAGGTAATTTACCCAAAAACATATAGCTAGAAAATTATGGAGTTGGAATTCAAACTCAGGTAGTCTGATCCAAACCCATGAAACTATCACTCACCACAGGGACCTCAACAAGACTAGATGTGGTGCAGAGTTGCCTGTCAGACCCTGTAGTGACAATGAGGAGGGAAAGGAAAAATTGGATCCACCAGTTCTCATTCCATGAACCTAAAGTAAAAGAAATCTTATCTTCTGAGGAAATGTCTTCAACTTCTGCTATCAACCCCCACATGGTAAGGCATGACCAAAAAGTCAGTTATCTGTCAATGTAGTTCCCCTGACCCTTATCTGCAGATTATATGTTCCAAGACCCCTATGATACTAGGAATAGTACCAAACCCCATATATACTATGGTTTTTCCTATAACACCCACCTACAAGAAAGTTTAATATACAAATTAGGCACAGTAAGATATTAACAACAATAATAAGGTAGAACAATTATAACAATATACTGTAATGAAAGTTACGTGTTTGTGGTCTCTCTCTCAAAATACCTTATTGTACTATACTTATCCTACCTCTTAGGATGTTGTGAGATGATGGAATGTCCATGTGATGAGATGAAGTGAGGTGAATGACAGAGGCCCTGTGATGTAGTGTTAGGCTATTGCTGACTTTCTGAGACTATGTCAGAAAAGGATTATCTGTTTCTGGACTGTGGTTGACTGTGGGTAACTGAAACTGTGGGAAGTGAAACCACAAATGACGGGGTGCTGGTCCCCTAGCTTAAAAGAAGGAAATGAAATAGATTAACCCTTCTGTCAATGAAGATAAAAGATTCTGTTTCCCCAGTTGGCCTTGACAGGGAGTGGGTTCTGCAAGACTTGTACTTTATAAAGAGGAGGGAAATGTCACCAGACTTTCCTATCTGTAGAACTTGGCTAGCATTCTGTAAAGAGGGAGAATATAACATGGGACCAGCTGTCAATGCTTCTGTTTTAATAAGAAAACTACCTTTGAAACAAAATCAGACCCATACTGGGATGGAATAGGATGTCTCAGACACGAGTTCTAACTTGGTGTAGGATTATTAAGAAGCAAGCTCTACAGTCCTGCTGAGTCAATGGATAGGATCTATTTTCAGTTCTCAACTTGTCCTGAGATGCTGTAAATCTCTTGCCAAGACTTGAATCAGTGCAGCACCTGTGAGAACCAATTAAGAATGCCACATCACCTAGGAAGAGAGCAACAGAGTGCTGTGAATTCTTATTTGGATAAAAGTGTCCGAAAGTGAAGAAAATTAGCCAGCTATCTAGTCATGCACGCAAATCTTGTGTTAACAAAAAGAAAAAAGGAGGACCTGCTCTGGTGGGCCCAATTCCATATTCCCTGAGCAACTCTATTTCCTTTTTCCTACTTCTCTGGACAGTACCAAGCTGGATACCGTTTGGCAGGAGAATCAAGGTTTCCTTATTGACTTCTTTGTCTAGATGGTTGGCTTTGTCATCCAGACCTCTTGCAGAGACTGTGCTCTTACCTCCTGATCACCCTTTTGCTCACTGAGTTCCTAACTATCTTCGTGGCTTTTTGGCATTCCTTGTTTCTTAAAGCATTCTTTTGGGATTTCTGGTCAATTTGGTGTCCTTGCCTGATTTCTGGCACACTCTGAATTCTGCCTGTCTTTGGTTCGTGTGTACTGATTTTTCTATCCTTTGGTTTCTGTGTACTTCTCGACTTCTGTTTTTCCATGCCTGATCGCCCACCGCCTAGTAGATATCCACCTCCAACTTCCCTTACCTGTTCGATTTTTTTAAACTTGTTTTTGCAAAGCATCACTATTGTTCACAATTCTAGAACTGACATTTTTAGAGTTTTAGGTGGAGCAATCAAGAGGAAATATCCTTTTGGAAAAAGGAAATGCAGGATTGGAGACTGGGATTACTAGTCTCCTTTAGATTTGAATCTCAGGAAGGCAATGATAGGGAACATAAAAGAGATCTGGATTCAAAAGAAAGATATTTATTGTTGGTAATATGGGCAATAAAATAATAATCATCTAAGAAGAATTTAAAATAAGAACCCTGAGAAATCATTGATTCTTAATAATATTCTATTTTTTATATCAAGAAAATTTTTGTTCCTTTGAACTAAATGTTTTTAGCTTATTACCAAATTTTGAATATGTGAATTTAGATATTTTTAAATGGGTAAATATCATTCATAAACACTAACAATAATGTATTTTAGGGTGCCAAATTTGAAACTAGTATTTAATTTCAAATCTAATTGAACTGTGCTATTTTCGTAGGGATATACAGGCTCCTTTTGAAAAGTTTAATTTTAGGGCACCTGGGTGGCTCAGTCGGTTAAGCATCTGCCTGGGATCGAGTCCCACATGGGGCTCCCTGCTTGATGGGGTATCTGCTTCTTCCTCTACTCCTCCCCCTCTGCTTAGGCTCTCTCTCTCTCTTTCTCTCTCTCAAATAAATAAAATCTTTAAAAAAAATAAAGGGGGGCACCTGGGTGGCTCAGTGGGTTAAGCCTCTGCCTTCAGCTCAGGTCATGATCCCAGGGTCCTGGGACTGAGCCCCGCATCGGGCTCTCTGCTCAGCAGGGAGCCTGCTTCCTCCTCTCTCTCTGCCTGCCTCTCTGCCTACTTGTGATTTCTGACTGTCAAGTAAATAAATAAAATCTTTAAAAAAAATTTTTAAAAAAAGGAATGACTCATTCTTCTTGTCCCATCGAAAATTATAAATTAATTATGTGACTCTAGAATTTTATAGTTGGAATTTTCCTTGGAATCAGAGAAATAAATTCAGTCATTTCTATATTTTCCAGAATAGTATAACCTTTGTTTTATTTTAAAGTGAACGAAGCAAAGCAGCAGAAATATGTAGAGACTCAGATACCCTGTGGTATAATTCTGGGTGTGCACCTTCATAGCATGACCTTGGGCATTTAAATTACCCAACTTCTCCTTACCTGAGAAAGTTTTAACTGACTCTAGTCCCACAGTATATGACCCAGGTCAACCAGACCCAGGTGTATTGCTTTTACCTTGATAATATCCTAGACTTTAGATCTCTTCATGTGTCCCAACTCATAATTAAACCTTTGCCTTGCTCTCTATTCCATTAATCTTCCAGTTGCCTGTCCAGTACAGTTATACCTCTAAGTTTGGAGTCCTGCCCTTTACACAGGTCGTGGTCATAGAACCTGACAATCTTCCAGTTACCACCTCTAGTCTGCTGATCTGAATCCCAGAGAACTATCTCCCTCTGAGCTATTTGATTTTGTGTCAACTTGACTCTGTGTCAACTTGACTATGTGTTCGACTGCTGCCTTGGGCCGCCCACTGATAGCTGGTTTTATGAACTATGGCCTGATACCTTGAAATATTTTGAATACCTGTTAAAATGTCAGTATTCCCAAGTTCCAATCCTATTCCAGTGGGTATGCTCAAGACTGGTTCTCTTCCTTTCTCTGGTATTAGTGGGCCATAACCACCCTGCTCTCAAGATGCCAGATATATGATTTTACATGGTATTATCCTATAGCATCAAGAAATTGTGTCCATCAATAAACTGTGTTCATTATAATCTGTTTAATAAGACAGAGACATAGTTCAAAAAGATCTCCATTAGTGTAACAATGGTCACAATTTTTAGAAGAGTTGGTACTAGTACTAGTTGGTACTAGGGGACTAGTTTTGTTTTCTAAGAAAATTAATTTGTGGCGGTACCTGGGTGGCTCAGTTGGTTAAGTGGGCAGCTTTGATTTCAGCTCTGGTCATGATATCAAGTTGTGGGATCAAGCCCCACTTTAGGCTCTGTACTCAGCAGGGAAGCTGTTTGATATTCTCTCTCTCCCTCTCCCTCTACTTCTGCCCCTCCCTCACTAAGATAAATAGATAAATCTTAAAGAAAAAGAAAATTAATTTGTGTGGAAAAGTTCATTCCCCCTTAAATTCAAAAATGGATTTTTACCTAAAGCTTTTGGGGAAGATTTGTTGAAGATGTTGGTGCTCCATGAATTTGTTCAATAACAAATTTCACAGGAGTTTATAAATTTATCTATTTATCCAGTTACGTGTTTGAAGTGAAAAACTCCTATTACGGCTTTTTCTACCTAAAAGAAAAGCTATTTCATATGGTTTCCCAGTGCGGCACTTTAAGCATCTGTGTATATGTAGTACTTAGCCTGTTTGTGTTATGTTAAGAACTTTATAACATACAGTCTAATTAAATTGTCACATAGGTTTATTGACCTACTACTAAAGATGAAACTGAGGCATCAAGATTTTAAGTAACTTGAGGTCACACAGTGAGAAAGCAGCAGAACCAAACAGAATCTACCTGCCTTCAGATAGCTCCTAATCACTACATGGAAACAACGAACACTGAAAAAAATGAGAAAACACACACACACACACAACTTGGAAAAAGATAAGGAATATGCTCCACAAGAAGTCTGAACACTTTATTATATCTTCGAATTGGTTGGTTCTGACTAGATTTTACTGGGGGTAATCAGTGAGGAAACATCTGGGTCTCCTAAGATCTCTGCTGTCATCTGAGAGAATTGGATGTTTCCTGGATTTGGATGGTTATTCCTCACTTGAGAGAACTAGGAAATATTTAGGGCTGGTCTTCAGAAGGAAGGACAATACTACAAACCTCCTTAATAAACAGGGTTCTGGCAGTGTGCTACCAGGTCACCTCTTGCTGCAGTCTCTACGCAATTTTCCCCTTCTGTAGAGAGCATGGCATATCCTTATACACAAAACAGGGAAACCAGATTGTGGAATGCTATTTGAATATAATGACATTGACATTTATTTTATAGGAGACCCTGCGACTATAGCAAGAGGCCGAAAATATTCTGTCTCAGGACAAGTTGATATCCTGCTGAAGACCACAATGCACCATAACAAAATAAACCCTTCAATAACTTCCATGGGACAATTTTTTTTTCCTTCCAGCAGCTTTTCAAAGAATAGTTGTTTTCATGATTAATCCAAAGGTGTTCTAAGAAATGCCATCATTGCAGGCAAGTGACAAGTTTTATATGATAATTTTTGACATGCTTGCTATAGTCATCATGAATTCTCAATAGAAGTATTTCAGTGCCATGTTTTCATTGGGGGATTTCAATTTCCAGAATTAATAGTGTTATGCCTCGAGTCAGACAAATCCTAGCACCAAATTATTATAGGCTGTTCCTTTTCTTGAGGAACTATTCCAAAAAGCCCACAATATTTCTTCAGGGAATGTACCAATAAGAAGAAACAGAATATAGACTGTCATTCATGATTCTGTTTCAGATTCTGAACGTTGCTTTTAAGTTAAAAACATCTTTAAAACCTATTTTGTTTTTGTACGTTTTGTCCTCCTGGCAGCCTCATTTATTCATTTATCCTTTCAGCAAATATTTATGGATTACCTTCTATATGCCAGGTGCTGTGGTAGGTATTAAGGGCATAATAATGAATTAGAATTTGCTGTCAAATTGTAATCATTCCTTTAAATTAAATTAAATTAAATTAAATATTAAGAAACCAGACACACAAAATGCCTGCTAAATTAAATTAAATTAAATTTCTTGTGTTATATACTCCTAACATCATTTTATAATTTTTTGGACACAAGAGATTCATAATATTTGGTGGTGATATCAGCAGACAATTAGAGAATTATTGTATCCTTTCTTTCTTTCTTTCTTTCTTTCTTTCTTCTTTCTTTCTTTCTTTCTTTTTAAAAGATTTTATTTATTTACTTGACAGAGAGAGATCAGAGAGTAGGCAGAGAGGCAGGCTGAGAGAGAGGGGGAAGCAGGGTCCCTGCAAAGCAGAGAGCCCGATGCAGGGCTCGATCCCAGGACCCCAAGATCATGACCTGAGCTGAAGGCAGAGGCTTAACCCACTGAGTCACCCAGGTGCCCCAGAATTATTGTATTTTTTAAAAATCAATATTCATTTTGCCTTTTCATAGAAAATAAATGAATGCCTTATCTCTCATTTTAGTTTTTTTCCCTTCCTTCCTTCCTTCCTTCCTACCTTCCTTCCTTCCTTCCATCCTTCCTTCCTTCCCTCATTCTTTCCTATTAAATCTTTTATTTTAATGCCCTGTCATTTTAGTCTTATATTCTCATGACTAAGTCACAACAGACTTCGTTTTTCCTGGGGTGTAAATTCAGTCACCACCTTGCCTTCCCATTCTAGTGGATAGTGGTACTGAATTAATACTCCAGGAAACAGTGTAAATAAATACTTTGTCTATTCTGTTCTCTGGGGAATTTCACATAAAACAGGGGTTCTTTTTTAATTGAATCACTAATTCAAAGCCTAATCTCCTCCCTTCTATTCTCTCCATTAGTCCCTTTCCTGCCCCCTATTTTAAAGCTTCAAAGAAACTTCTGATTGTGTCTCCTTTCCCAAATCACTCACAAGGAGGTTAACTCAGAGGTTACAAATTCAGATGCCTATAGGCAACAGCCTGGAAAGAGAAAAAAGTGCTGGGGGCTGAGGCAGAAACATTAGGGAGTGAGGGGGGACTATGGCAAACTAGAGCACGGGCCTGGAAAAGAGTTGTCTGTACTCAGCCCATCTCATTGTTGTTGGGTGAATGAAATGCTGAGTTAGCTGATCATCCAATTTTCACAAGAGTCAGAAATCTGCATCTTTATGTAAAATGTTCCTATCTGTAAATGTTGAACCACAAACAAAACATGGCTGCCCCGGACTACCATTTACATTCTTGACTCTTATTGGTGTTGAATCCAAAAGACTAAAAGCACAGTAGGTTTTGAAATGTCCTTGAAGAATATGAGTTGAATTTGTGACCCAACCCCACACTCAAGGGAAAAGGAAAAGGAAGAGTTCTTGTCAGGGGTGTATTTGGTATTATTGGTCTAATTAGTACATTTTCATTAATCTAATCAGTACATTACTACAGTTTTTAAAAATGTAATAAAGCAATCCAACTTTTATGTAAGATAAGGGAAGATGAAATATATTTTCGATTTAAAATACATATTCAATTTTGTTTTTATTTATATAAGGGACACTGGCACTGGAAGAATACATTAAAAATTAATGAGTGATTATCTTTGTAGGGTAGGGATAAGGTAGAAAGCCATGAGCATAGGAAGACGAGTTCTCAATCTATACTTTTTATTTAGTTTTTCTTTTTGAAACAGATGAGAGTATTATATATTCAAAAATCAAATTTTTAAAATAAACATAAATGGCATTAACATACCAAATTATTTTTCATTGTAGGGAAGTATGACAGGTTGAAAATAAATTAGAATGTGTAAAAATATACAACAGGACAAAATTCTATAAGGGAAATGGAATTATAAAAGTTAAAGAAGAAGAAAAAGGAATAATGTTTCAATTAGGATAGCCAAAGAAAAATAATTTAATCTTTAAATGGTATCAAACTGCAATGGTATTTATAGTCCACTAACATACTTAAGACTTTCGTGGTTCTTATTTTTAAATGCCAATATTTACAATGTAATATTGAAATTACTTCCTTTACTATTGTTTTATTTTATGATAATAATTTTGGACACTGATATAAAAATGAGAAGGGGATAGATGTATTTTTCAAAGTTCTTTTGAGAACATATAAACAAAAAAGTTCAAAGATAATTGATCTTGATTTTCCTATACAGTTTACCTTTGAATTACATGGGGGCTAGGGGTGCCAACACCCCCACCATACAGTTGAAAATCTGTGCATAACTTTTGACTCTCCAAAAACTTGATAGCCTACTGTTGACTGAAAACCTTATCGGTTACATGAATAGTTGATTAACACTGAGCCACCCAGGCACCCCTATATACTATATTCTTATAACAAGCTAGAGAAAAGAAACTGTTATTTAGAAAATCATAAGGAAGAAAAAAAAAAAAGAAAATCATAAGGAAGAAAAAATGCATTTACAATACTGTACTGTAAAAATCTGTATATAAGGGATCTGCAAAGTTCAAACTGATGTTGTTCAGAGGTCACTTCTACTTGAAATATTGGAGTTGCTACTTTGTCCATGGAAGGCCAAAGTTATGCTACATGATGACAAATTAGTACCTCTGGATGGTATCATATGGATTAGTTTGGGATTAGCTAGTTTTTACTTAGAAAAACAGAAAACTTTTAAGTTCCATATGAATGAGTGCCAGGTAAGCACATGAATTTAGGTGTTTGTAATGCAGGACCAGCACACAAGATCAAGAATTTGCAGAGCTAATGTAATGAGAGTGCAAAGGAGGGCCAAATCAAGAGGCAGAAAGTTCCCTACTCAAATTTGCGATTGGCCAACCTGCTTGGGTTCATCTTGGAATACATAAGAAGGATCTAAAACCAAAAGTACATTGGGGCGCCTGGGTGGCTCAATGGGTTTAAAGCCTCTGCTTTCAGCTCAGGTCATGATCTCAGGGTCCTAGGATCAAGCCCCACATTGGGGTCTCTGCTCAGCGGTGAGCCTGCTTCCTCCTCTCTCCCTCTATGCCTGCCTCTCTGCCTACTTGCAATCTCTGTCTGTCAAATAAATAGAATCTTAAAAACAAAAAGTACAAGTCCAGTGGTATGAGGACTCATCAAACCCACCTATAGTGAAGCTCCTGGTGTGGACCCTGGGAGATTGCCCTGGCCCCGTTTCCCTCACAGGCTCCTAGAACATGTGATGACAACGAAAACAACCCAAGTTTGAAATGAAAATTATCTAAACTAATTTTCCCCTTCCAATAAGAAAATACTAATTACATTTAAGCTTTGTTGATTCCAAATAAGAGCTGAGTAAGCATTTCTTCTCATTTGGTTGAACTTTTATCCTTGTTATTCCTCTGTGTTATATCCCTTATCAGGAAAAATTCCAGACTTCCAGGTCACCCTTTATCTTCTACCTACTGGCCCACCTCAAGGCTCCTCATGTCACCTATTTTGAATCCTTTTCTGACCGCTCCCCAATTTCTGAGACTATTCCACTGTGTCCTCTGGAATTCATGGTCCATCACCAGCAAAATTCTCTGTATTCTCAATCTCTTCTCTGAGTATTTCCTTCACATTGCTCTAAAGCAAGCCTGGCTCACCCCCTGTAGATGGAATTTTCCCTGCAGGCTTTCCAGAGACCTCATACCACTGGACGCGGAGGTGGGATAGAAATCCTCCTTGCTGTTCATTGCTTCTTTCAGGCTGTTCTTCCTTTTCCCTTTCTAATTTCTCCCTTTGCCCAGTATTTGCTTTGCTGTTTTTTAATTCATGTCCTCTGATGTCATCACCTTACTCATTGTGGCAGTCACCTACTCACTCATGTATCACTCTGCCTTATTTTTCAAGGACTTTATCTTTCAGCTGCTTGCATCCTCTCTAGCACCTTTCCTAATTCTAAGTCTTGTTTTCAATATATACATAGATAATCCTTACTCTCTTCTTGACTCTCTTCCAAAGACACTGTATTCCGCACTCCTTAGGCACTTGCTGCCATTGTTGCATTCTACTCTAGACTTCATCACTTCTCCGTAATCTTGCTTTCATGTATCCCACTTTAATTACCATATTGCTGTATTCACTCTGCAAAAGTAGGATGGACTTTTCTACCTCAAATGTGGTTTGGATGTTGAGACTGACAATGCCACACACGTACCAAGAGAGTATGAAAAGTTGTACTGGGCCTGGATGGCTCAGTCAGTGGAGTGCATGGCTCTTGGTTTCAGGATTGTGAGCTCGAGCCCTATGTTGGGTATAGAGATTACTTAAAATTAAATCTTCAAAAACAATTTTATTACTTATAAAAAGGTTTCTGTGGAGAACAGGGCAGGCTCCTAAACTGGTACAAATATGGTATAAAGGAATAAGGAAAGGAGACTGTCTTAGGGTTTTATGGGAGTAGGACCAGGGTGAAAGTTCCCTCAAGTGGGCTGGGTCTTGCTTGGTTTGTACTTTCCACCAGCACCAAAGGAGTCATCTTATCTGTTTTCCTGGATGTGGGATACTTGCAGAGAAGAGGAGAGGTGGGGCTTGAAAGCTATCAGTGAATATTTAAAAAATGGAGTCAGACTCTTTATTATACGTCTATTTTTTCAGCTCATTCCCTTTTATTCTCTGACTCCTACAGTCCCTCAAAAACTTGCAATGCATTGATTCTACAACTTCTTCTCTGTCCTTAATCTCTTCATATTCATTCTTCCCTCATCCTAAACTCCATGGAGAATCATAATCACTCCCTTACTTACATTTTCAACTTCCTTGCTCTTCTTCCCTTGGTAAAACCTGATTTAAAAGAATTCGAAACCTGTTCTGAGCCCATGTCTGGTAGCCAATTATTACTGGATGAAAAAGGTACAATCACACTAACTTACCTCACTTTAATTCATGACCATGAACTCAAGTGGGCCCTTTATGGCACTCGGTAAGCATATGATTTTTCCCTAGTCCATTCATCTTCCCATTCTCCTAGATAACTACTTCACACCTCTTCTTTCCTCAAAGCTCTGTTACTCTTCTGGACCTCTCTACTGATGACCTTACTTCCTTTGTCTCTGAGAAAACTGAAATGATCAGAAGAGAATTTCCAGATTCCCACCACCCCTCCTATCTGCCTGCTTCCCTGTTCCCATAGAAGAGCCTGTGCTCCTGTCTACAGAAGATCCTTCCACCTGTGTGCTTGATTCCAAACTCTTTCCCAAAGACACTGCCCCAGCAATTCTCTCTTCTTGATCCTGCATTAATTTTTCATCTTCCAGATCTTTTCTAGATCATTCTCCTCAAGAGCAAGTATTTCTCCCAATTTGTCAGTCTGCTGCTGACTCCACTTCCACCACAAGTTACTGCTCATTTTTGGGTTCCCCTTTGTAAAGAACTTCTCAAAAGAATTGTATTAGACATCCTAATTCCTTCCTCCCATTTTTTTCTTAAACTCACATGGATCAAAGTTTCTCCCACTGATCCAATAGCCTCCACCAATAGCCTCCATGGTACTAAATCCAAAAGTTAGTTCTCAGTCCTTACTCACATATAAGCATATAAGCATTCGCTCCTCCTTGATATACTATCTTCACTCTGCTTCCAGGCACTTCTCTTTTGGTTTTCCTCCTTCACTGGCTGTTCCTTCTCAGTCTCCTTTGCTAGCTTCATTCTTGGTTCTCTCCTATTTGCATTCACTCCTTTGGTGATCTTGTCCAGTCTCATGGCTGTAAATATCATCTAAATGTTAGTATCTCTCAAATATCACTAGCTTGAGCCACTGTCTTTAACCCCAGACTCAAAAATACAACTACCTACTCAAGACCTTCACCTGGATTTATTTTTTTTAAGATTTTATTTATTTATTTGAGAGAGAATGAGAGAGACAGAGAGAGCAGAAGAGGGGGGAGGGTCAGAGGGAGAAGCAGACTCCCCAGTGAGCAGGAAGCTCAATACAGGACTCCATCCTGTGGTTTCAGAATCATGACCTGAGCCAAAGGCAGTTTTTAACCAACTGAGCCACCTAGGTGCCCTTCACTTGGATTTCTAATAGGTCTCAAATGCCAGATGTCCAAATTGAACCCCTAATCTTTCTCTTCAAACCTACACCACCTGTGGTTCCCCTCATCTCCACTGATTTGTTTCCTTTTTTAATATCCCTTATCAGCTTTATTATTTATTTTTACTTATTTATTTATTTCGTTTGTTGTATTCATTACTTATTGCCTGTTGCTCCCACTCCGAAAATGTAATATTCACAAGGGTTGACATTACTGTTTTGTACAGATTTATAACCCAGTCAATTAGAACAATGTCCAGGTGCTCGATTAGTATTTATTGGATTAATGAATGAATGAATGTAACAGATAGCAGCCATTCTCAGCAAACTCAAGAAATCACTGTTTTCTTAATCCAAACTGAAAGTCAATGAAAAATGGATTTATCTGCAAGCAATCACAAAGGGCCCGGTTTAAAATCTGTGCCTGTATGTGGGTTGGGGGAGGGGCAGGTGCGAAGTTTATTTTTTTCTTCTTTCTTTTTTTCCCCCAGGAAATAAATGCAAAGCACCATTAGGAGGTTTAGTTTAAAACCACAGAGACTGAGTAAAGGTTTGCTTCCGGAGAAAACAGTGTTCAGAGCAACAGGCCAGGAAGAGTTCTAACTGGCTACCTAAAAAACTGTGCTGGCATCACGTGGAAGGTGGTATGTGGGGTGAAAAAAAAAAAAAAAAAAAAGCAAAAACGCGTCTTCCTTCATTACGAGAGAGTCTCTCGGATCAATAGCTGTTCTCCCACTAGGGTGGCTCTTTTTTCCCTTATTTGGACTTCACTGTCAAAAGAAAGACACCACACCCTTCGCTATGTAGCCTTCCCTGAGTAACTATGCCACGTCCCAGGTCTCCTATCTTCAGGACTACATTTAATTCAGTACTATTTTTTTTTTTTAAAGTCAGGGTTTCTGGGTGGGGCCAGGAAAACTCTGAAGATGTTTGAAAACAATACAAACTTAAAGTCTGAATTTCTAAAAAAGTACATTATAAAAAAAAAGTTTAAGGCCATTAAGAAGCGAAATGGCTTTGGGGGACACTCTCAGTTCAGCGGAGAGGAGCCCTACCCGCGTTCGCTCCGCCACAAGCGCAGAGCCCTAGTCCTCAGGGGCGGCGCGCGAAGGCTTTTCGGGCTGCGGCAGACGCCCCCTGCGCAGGCCGCACCCGCCGCCGCGCGCGAGGGAGAACGAGCCTGTCTCCACGCAAGGAACCCCAAGCTTCCCTTAAATTTCCGTGCAGCCCGCCCAGACACGTCCCGACTGATGGAGCACAGTCCGAGTGGAACGTCAGTCCGAACTGGAAGGGTAGCGGCGTTGGCTGGACGCGCGGCGCATGCCTCGCTGGGAGCCGGGAGCCAACAGCTGGTCCGCGAGGTCCGAAGGGTCGACGCTCCAGCCCGCGCAGCACACACCCAGCAAGACCCGCCCCTCCCCGCGTGGAGCGTGCGACACCCGGCCTTCCGCGACGCCCTCTGCCTCCTCCGCACGCCTCGCCTTTAAGCGCGAGGCGTAGTTGGATTTGTGTCGGCCGAGGCAAGGCGCGACTCCCCTTTATGGCGGAGTCGGCAGCCGCGGCTCTGATAACCGCGGCAGCCGGACGAGCAGAGCGTGAGGCCGAGCCTCGGGCAGCCGGCCGCCGCCACCGCAGCGGGGCCTGGGGGAAGCGCGGCGCTCGCCGCGGCGGGGGCGGAGGAGTGGGCGGGCCCGGGCGGGCTGGGGGCGGGGAGGAGGGGGAAGGCGGGGAGCCGGGTCGCCAGTGCTCGGGTCCGCCTCTGACTGCGGCGCGGCGGGGCGATGTGTGATTACCATGGCGAGGAGTCTCTGTCCGGGGGCCTGGCTAAGGAAACCCTATTACCTCCAGGTAGGCCGGCGGCGAGCCCGCTGGGCGCCCTCCCCCACGGTGCGGGACTCGCCTGCCTTCTTCCTCCCTCCCTAGGTCGGCGCCCGCCCGAAACCCGCTGCCCCCTGCTGTCCGGTACCTGGCGGCGCGCCCTCCCCGGCAGCCCGGGAGCCGCAGACCCTACGGCGGCGCTGCCCGCGCCCCCCATGGCTGCCCCGGCGCCTCTCGCGCTCGGGCCGCCCGGCTCCGGGGCCCGGGTCTCCCCGCCCGGGCTCGCCCTGGCGCCCCTAGCATCCCGAGAGCCCCGAGACGTGACCCGGGTGCGACCCTCCGCCCCTAGTAGTTGAGGCTCGGCAGCTTGGGCTCGGGACGTGCGCTGGCTTCTCCCTGGTCTGGCGCTCTCCTCCTCCTCCCCCTCCCCCGTGGGCCCCGCAGGTCGGCTTTTCACGACTCTGTGTCTTCGGTCGGTGGTAGGAGAGGTGGTGTGTCATTCCACCATATTTTAGAAAATTATGGCAATTTGTCACATCAGGGTTTCCCCAGATCCTCGAGAAGCTACGTGTGCCTAGTGCTGAGCCCCTCGGTTCGATCTTTCCATCACACTCGTGATTTAAACAGGAGGTAGGACTCGGAAGCCCGAAAGAGGCGAATGGGTGTTTGCTTTCCAGAAGGAAAGGGGACAGTGTCTGGTGCCGATCTCAAATACCCCAGAAATGCAAACGTAATTCTCAGTCATGTCATGTGTACTGTTCGCGTGTTAATCTTTCATGATTTCCCGTTCCACGCTCTGTGCCGCTGCCAGTCTATGTCTTCGAGCCCTACTACTGCCTTCACGTACTGTTGGTCACCAGGGGGACCTAGTAGGCACCGTGAGTAGCTGAGCGCAAATCCATCATCCCAGTGGAAAAACAACTACAAATCAGTGCCTCGCGTGGGTCGGCAGTGTTGTCTGCCTTCAGAGGACAGTACTCCTTTTACCGCTTACATTAAAAAGCTTAAGGTATTGATAGATGATTTGGGGATGGGAAGTCATGCTCAGCTGGCGCTTTTATAAATTATTTTAAAAGTTGAGGAGAAGCCATCAAGGGGCAAGTAAATCTTTCATTCTTGTTTGGAAATTGCATATGTAAATCGTTACCCTGCGGTGAATGATGTACTGCAAATTGGAAGCATGATTTGACAACCCATGATATAGAGACTACAGGAGTAAAGCTGAACGAATGCCCTGAGTCCTTGTAGCAGCTCCAACAGTAGTAATTACGCTTGAGTACAGTAGAGTAACGCAGTGTAGAATTTAGCCCAGGCCAGATACCTCTTTGTAACCCTCTATGGGAACAACAACAACAAAAAAGGTCTTACCAGACTCTCTCCCCAAAATAAGTTTATTGGGATATTTAATTTAATTTTTTTTTTTTTGCTAAAACTAGGTGTGTGTGTGTGTGTGTGTGTATATATATATATATATAAAATTTTTTTTTTAAAATTCTGCGGCAGACTTTATTTTAGACTTTGATTAGTTTGTCTCTAAATGTTCTTCATAAATGTGGCTGTGACATGTTTTGGCACCGTAACTCAAGAGCTTTCACATTGGCTGAATTAAGATTAGTTTTACAAACAGTTATATTTCCATTAATCACAAACCTTTGGCAGTTCTGCCTTTCTGAATGTGCACATCATTATCTATTACTAAATTAAGGTAAACTTGGATTTTAACCATTTCAAAAGGATTTAGGAGCACAGTGATATTTTAGTAGGCTACCTCTATATAAAATAATGATTAAATAGAAACATTATTAATTCTAGTATTATATTTGAGATAAACTTGAAACTTGGGAACTGGTGTCTTAATGTCTTGGTATTAGTATTTATTCCCTTTATGAATTTTCTTGTTAGTTGTCCCTCATTATACTATTTTGATTTAACCAGTTTAAAAAAATTATTTAAGTGTCACCTTTTTCTGTTCCCTGTTGTCTAAATGCCTCATCTTCTTGTTTTACAATTTCTCTACTACTAGGCACTTCAACCTTGAAATTGTTTTGGGCAAAGTCAAAACATTTCCAACTGAGATTGTCATACAGCTGCTCAAGTTTCTTAGCCACTGAAGATTGAATTAATATATACAGTACTCCCTTTCCTCTTTTATTGTTTTATTTTTCCTGAGACAAAAATTGTGTTCTTTTAGAAACAGCATGAGGCCTGAGAACAGAGCTGATCTTTGTTCATTTGTGCTTCTGTTTCATCATGACCTTGAAAAAGTTTCCTAACTTTTTAGTTCCATATTTTCCATATCATAAAATGGAGATTATAGTTATTAACTGAGTACATCACATGAGCGTAGTGAAGCCAAGCTACATGAAGTTAAATCTGTTTTTGTGACATTTGTACTAACTTTAAATAGAAAAGCATGTGAATTTAAATGGTAAGTACATATAAGTAAATATGTTGAATTCCTTCATCCAAAGGTTTCTGGCTTTCCCCTCCATTTTATTTATTTTTTAAAAACATTTTATTTATTTATTTGACAGACAGAGATCACAAGTAGGCAGAGAGAGAGAGAGAGAGACACGGAGGAGGAAGCAGGCTCCCCGCTGAGCAGAGAGCCCAATGTGGAGCTTGATCCCAGGACCCTGGAATCATGACCTGAGCTGAAAGCAGAGGCTTTAACCCACTGAGCCACCCAGGCGTCCCAGGATTTATTGAGCATTTATTGATATTGACCCAGTTTCACAATGACTTATCATATTGACTAAATCATTGACTTAATATTTGTTGGAGGCCTGTCACATGCCAGAAACTTTGTGAAGTGGTAGCAGTTCTACTACAGCTAAGCAAACATCTTTATAATCCTCATGGAGCTTAAAGTCTAGTTAGAGGCAAACATTAAATAATCTCAAAAATGTATAATGACAACAGTAGGTACAATGAAGGAAAAGAGAAGAAGCAAAAGACTACCTGTGAGTAAGAGAACAGTCTCTTGCTCTTTTAAAACCTTTTACTATAGAAATTTTTATGCATACATAAGGCAGAAAAGAATAATGATCTCTCACTACCTATCACCTGCCCTCAACAATTATCAGTATTTTGTTTCATTTCTCCTCTCATTGTCCTCCTTGCAACTGAAGTGGGGTTTTTTTTGGATTATTTAAAAAAAATTTTTAATTCTAGTATAGTTAACATGCAGTGTTATATTAGTTTCAGGTGTACAATATAGTGATACAACAATTCTATACATTACTCAGTACTAATCAAGATAAGAGTACTCTTAATCCCTATCACCTATTTCATCCATCCCCCCACATGCCTCCCCTCTGGTAACCATCAGTTTGTTCTCTATAATTAAGAATCTGGTTTTGGATGATCTCTTTTTTTCCTTTGTTCACTTGTTTATTAAATTCCATATATGGAATTTGTTTTTCTCTGACCAACTTATTTCATTTAGCATTATACTCTCTAGCTCCATCCATGTTGTTGCAAATGGCAAGATGTCATTTCTTTTCATGGCTGAGTTATATATATATATATATATATGTATATACATATATATATATACATATATATATATATATACACACATACACACACACACATAAACATATATATCTCCCACTTCTTTATCCACTTATCTATTGACAGACACTTGGGCTGCTTCCATAATTTAGCTATTGTAGATAATGTTGCAGTAAACATAAGGGTGTGCTAATCTTTTTGAGTTTGTGTTTTCATATTCTTTGGATAAATTACCCAGGAATGAAATTAATAGGTGATAGGGTAATTCTTTTTTTAATTTTTTTATTTAATAAAGTTTTTTCAAAATGTACAGTTGGTAGGATCTGTTCATGCATCTTCACCAGCAGCTGGAGTATCTCCACCCTTGGTATTTCTTGTGTAAATTACTTGAGCTCTGTGCTTTGAAACAAGTTTCATAAGTCTTTTACTAAGGAGCTCCTGGAGGGCTGCCCTGGCTAGGAACCTTGGATCTTCAGTCTCTCAGAGACAACAGCTGAGGTTATAAGCTTATAGCTGAGAACTTCCTTACAGAGTTTGTCATATCTTGCTTTGTCAAACAAGACCAGGTTATTGAGCTTGTGCTGAACTTTGCCTTTGGATCACTTCTTTTTGGTCTTAGCCCAGGTTTGTTCACTGGGTCTTTTTCTTTCTTGGTTGACTTTCTGGCATCTTTCTTGTCCTTGGGTGACATTGCAAAGCTCAGAGAACAGCAGCCACCCCTGCAGCCTCACTAAAAAACCAAATGCTATTTTTAATTTTTTGAGGAACCTGCATACTGGTTTCCGCGGTGGCTGCACCAGTTTGCATCCTACCAACAGTGCAAGCGATTTCCTTTTTCTCTACATCCTTACCAACACTTGTTGTTTCTTGAGTTTTCGATTTTAGCCATTCTGGCAGATGTGAGGTAATATCACATTGTGGTTTTGAGTTCCATGTCCCTGATGATGAGTGATGGTGAGCATCTTTCAATATGTCTGCTGGCCATCTGTCTGTCTTCTTTGGAGAAATGTCTGTTCATGTCTTTTGCCTATTTTTAAATTGGATTATTTGTTTTTTGGGTGTTGAGTTTTATACGTTTTTTTATGTATTTTGGATACTAACCTTTTATCAAATATGTCGTTTGCAAATACTCTCTCACATTCAGTAAGTTGCCTTTTAACTTTGTGGATTGTTTCCTTTTCTGTGCAGAAGTTTTTTATTTTGATATTGTCCCAAAAGTTTATTTTTGCTTCTGTTTGCCTCAGGAGGCATATCCAGAAAAAGGTTGCTACAGCTGATGTCAAAGAAGTTACTGCCTGTGCTCTCTTCTGGGATTTTTATGGTTTTAGGTCTCACATTTAGGTCCTTAATCTATTTTAAATTTATTTTTGTGTACAGTGTAAGAAAATGTTCCAGTTTCATTCTTTTGCATGTTGGAGTCTACTTTTCCCAGAACCATTTGTTGAAGAGGCTGTCTTTTTCCTGTTGCCTCCTTTGTTGAAGATTAATTGACCATATAATTGTGGTCAATTATT